CAAGGATTGCATTAAAAAAGGTGTTTTAGATCTGCCTATTGGTGACGGGGAGGTGAGAAATATTATTAATTAAAGATATGAATTGAAGATATTATTTAATTTATTTAACTAAATTAAATTATATATATAAAAAAAAAAAATTAGTTTGCGCCAGTTGCAGTCGAAGATGTAAGTATACACAAAATAAAAAAGAATAAAAGAAATTTTTTTTTAAATATATTTTACTCGTGTTATAGGTCGGCAAGATCGCAGAACATATACTTGATAAATCTGAAAACTATTATTCCCATATTTATACCGTTACTGGACATGAACTTTTGTCTGGCAAACTTCTCGCCGAACGTCTAAGCCAAACTCTTCATCATGAATTAGTTTATAAACCGTCTGAAGATGAAAACCATATCAAAGAACATATTAAGCAATATGTAACTACTCCTATTGAGGTCGAAAGCGTCTATCGTTTATTCAGGTTTATTAAGGAGGGTAAATTGAAATATGTAACTCCTCATTTTACTGAAGGATGGAAACCTAAAACGGTTGTGCAATTCTTCTTGGAAAACAAAGATGAGATACTAAAATAATTAGAATGTTTATACATATTTTTTTGTTTTATAACACCTTTTTGAATTATCAGTTTTTTACGTATTAAATTCATTTTGTATGATATATATCTATCGTGACACAATACTCTAAAAATATCTGTGGTACTTCTATCATATATGATGTGTAATTGCGGAATATTATACGTAGTATTAATTAACTGACTATTCGTCCTCGAATAATTATTGTGCATTGAAGAAAAATTCTTTCAATTATCTATGTTGTGCACCAAGTGTATTACACCTCATGTTAACTCTCTGTAGTATATATAAATGGGGTGAAAATATCTTCTTGATAGAAAATCGTTTAATTAAATGTTAAAATGGGTAAAATCAGTAAAAATTGACTTTTTTAGAAATTAGACCAAATTTTATTATTATTGAGAATTTATACGTACTGTGGTGTTAATTGGAGATGAGTAATTGTCAGTACAAATAAACAAGAATATTTAATCTAGGGATTTTTCTTGACAATTTTTGTTGTGCCTAAAAGCCCTTACATAATTTTTTAATAAAACACTGAAAATGA